GGGAGGGAGTAGAACAAAATATATTAAACCTCTGGTATACTTAAGTTTATATTAAAAGAACCCCTTTTCTCAAAAAAGAATTAAGTACAGGCAGGCCCCTCCTCTCCCAAGATGCTAACACTGTTAGATAGAAAGAGATGTCCCTTCCTCTGCTGCAATCTTGATTGGCTATATACCCATCACGATTAATTTACATACTGCCGTTCCTCATTAAATCCAGAGCGCTGTTTGGAAACAGAACAGCAACACTGCTTACAAGAGTTTTCAATCAATAGAAACTGAAGTCTGCACACATTTTAAGAAACATTCTGGGTCCTGAGTGGATAAGCTGTGGTGATCTAGACTTTGCTGAGCTTCTAGTATAAGATCCAGCTGAACTGCCATAAGGAGGAGGGGAAAACTTATTTCAACATCTAATAGTTGACTGCTCAACCTGTACAGCACGCAGCAAAGTCCACTTTCCACTGCCCGGGGAGGAGGGGCTGACATCTATGCACAAATAAATCAATAAGTAGCAACAGTGATGCTTTGTATTTTTGGAGGCTTATGCGGCAAATAATGCTATGGCTTCTGACTGTTCAGCTTTCTGTCCTTACCTCCTCTGTTATAGAAACTAAATTTGGATATTGTAGAATACATTACTAATTGCCCAACTGCCTGATGAAGGAATCTAAATTTTTATTTGGAGTCTTTACATGAAAGAATATACAAATTTCCCAAATATTGGTGGGCAGTTTTGCCATGTAAATGCCTTCTAGAGCAGAGGCAAATTATCTCTTGAAACAACCTCACACAAATTTAACTATATCTTTATTGACTTGTGCATATTCCATTGTATAATGATTTCTTAGTACTTTCCATGAATGCATTTTTAATTCTTTACCCATGCTTTAAAAAAGTATATTTATACATATTTATAGAATATTTATATAGAAAGGGCTCTTCTCAACCGTAAGTTCTTACTTGCAATGAGCTTTCATTCTTGAAAGGAAAGGATATGGGGAGGCAGTCCCATTCAGAAAGAATGTGCAATTTTTTCCTGTAAAGCGGTAAACATATGAATATATTTACAGCACATAGCACACATTGGGTACACAGACAAGATCATTGTTTTAACATTGGTGGTTTACATGTGCATAATCAGATACAAGAATCACCACCACTGACTCCGTCCAATGGCTGCAAAACAAATGTTCTTTCCACAATTTACAATCCTAAAATTTACAATTACAAAATAGTAAAAGCGGGGGAAAGCAGACAAGTATTGACCTCACCCATTTTCTGATGACAAAATACAAAGATTTGGGGGGGGGGGAGAGTATGTTGCAGCACAGTCACAAACAGGTATCTTAGAATGATACACCCACATTAAAATAAAGGCAATACCCATTTGGATCAGAAACCTTGTTTTCCAAAACATTTGTACTATGGCCTGCGTTCATGAAGATGTAGGCAATCCTTGAGAGAACTACCGCAGGCTATCCCGTTTTTCTTTGGTAGACAAGGTCATCCCCAATATTGTGGGGCTGTCCTATTCACTACTGAGAGCATGTCTAGAGATTTTCTTAACTCTCCAATCTACACATTCTGATTTCTACCAGACAAAGTAGGCCAGTCATTATAACAATGCAACGAAGTACTGCTCCTTTCTGTTTACTGAAGCTTCTATAAGCTTCAAATGTATGAACTATGGAAGAATATAATATCTATAATTAGCTGAAGGGAATCCAGGAACCAAATTTTAACTGAACCCTACACTGAAGCAGCAGATACCAAATAACATTTTTGTACATCACATAAGACTGTAGATTACTAATATGATTGAAGTAGTTTGCTATCTAATGATAAGTTCCATAATCACAAATGGCAAACGTTTTATGCTTTAACAAAACAAGAGCTATAGTTTTAGATGACAATCAGCTGTATCATAGGACCAACCACCCATTCATGTAAGGTTAGAGGTATACGTACATAACATATGCAGCACACAGAGAAATAGTTAATAGGAGAGAGAGAGAACTGTGATGCACAATTTTCCTGCCCATGGTCCTCAGCCCTACTGCGGGCAGCCATAGGGATTGATGCCAATTCCCTTTGGCCTTAACACATTCCTCTCAATAAAGATAGTTTGATCATATTTTAAAAATATTTTAGCTTTTATACATTTTCAAGAATTATTCAAAAGAATAATTTATTAATAGGTTTAGAGGGCATATAGAAGTCACTTGAAAATATTGTGAAAAATCGTTTCATCCTATTGTTATTAGGATGTATTTTAGACATACCTGCTTGCAGAATAATTCTAACAAGAAATTTGCTTTTGGGTCTAGCCCTGTTTAATTTAAAGCCCAATTTATATTCTTTAAGAATTAAGTCCTTAAGGCCAAAAATTTATGTTCAAATTTATGTTTCACTGATCAATGTATGAACCAACAAAATAAAGAAATGCCAGTGGAAATGAGATGTTTATTCATCAACAGCTGAATTGAACCGTAATTCAGACGTTCTCCATGATATTCTCAGGCATTTAACCATCTCTGGGTTAAATATTCTTACCTTTTGACTTCTCAGTTTGAAAGTTTAATAAGATATGCCATAATCTCCTGGGTTATAGCGTTTTGGGGAAATTTCTGAAGAAAACTGTAGCCCTGAGGTATGGGCATTAAACATATTTAAAATCTTAATTCAAAAAGAAAATACGAATGCTTGAACAATCTGATACATGTATACAATTGAGGCCTTTGGAAAGGAATTACAATGATTCTACCTATTTGGTTCAAAACCAATTAAACTGATGCTGCTCTGTGATGCTTCATCACTTCTCAGACACTTAACCAAAGGCCCTTGAGAAGGGTTGAAAAAGGAAGACCCCAAAGGCAGAAACAGTGATGTACTAAGCCAGAGGAAGTTAACCAAAAGGGGCAAAGAAAGTAGGTAAAGAGAGTTCATTATGTTGGTAAAAGATACATATCAACTTAAGAGAAATAAAGTGTAGAAACCTATTTGCAAAATGGAAGCAACCAGGAAATAAAGTTCTATATTAATATTCTTTTTTTAAAAAGACCGAAAGTCTGGAAAAAGGCATCTCAGTGCTCCTGCTGCTGCTGACTGGGTCAAATTCTGTATCAGAAACCTTCCTTACTGACATCCTTAGGGCACATAATTTAATTTGATGGCCTTAGATATTTAACTAGTGCCATTTTTTTTGTCATAGGTGGATACTGCTTATTTTTTGCATATGACAATATTTTGTTACAATGAGTGAATTCAGGTGGTACTTCAACACTGCCTGTCTCCAAAGGAACATGAAGGTTCAAAGGAATGAGGTGAACAAACTCTGGAATGAGGTGAACAAACTCTGCCCCCCCCCCAAAATTCTCATTTCTTTCAGTTTCATATTCACAAAATGAGATACCAACAAGTGGCAACAGCAGCAGCAGCAGCAGCAGCAACGGACAGGAATAAAAAGGCAGAAGTATCAATGCATTCTAGAAGCAAAATTAAAAAGTAAAAAAAAATTAAACAACATACCATAAGATATAAACCAAATATGTGTTAAAGTACACTAATGCAAATGTGGTTAATAGCTAAGGACACTTTGTAATCCCAAACACTTTGAAAGGTACCAAAAAAGTGCCTTCTAATAGCAGTACTTTAAAAATGCACAAAATGGTATATTATTATTGCTCAGGTAAAATATTGTCAAACAGGAAAAATATGTCCAGGATACATCTGGGGCAGAGCAAATCATCTACTATGATTTCAGTATTAGATGACATAGCACCACTTTTCTGTTGTTAGGGTTATTTTTGACCCAGGTTCTACAAAAGAAAAATAAATGTCACCTTTTCTTACTTCTTTCTAGAACAAACTCTCTGCAATGAATCCTTTTGTAATCATCCTAACAGAAGTCCAGCGGTGTGTGTGTGTGTGTG